CAGCTCACCAAGTTTCCGAAGTTTCAACCCTCAGATGCCAGGAACTGATGGAAGCTGGTGGTGACCCTCTTCTCCGGGCCGCTCTCCACCTCTGAAGCAGAGACGGAAAACTGCAACCTCCTTCCCCCCAACAAGATGTCCGGCCTCCTACTTCCCAATGAATTGTCCCTTGTCTCCCAATGTAAATGGCTCATTTCCCCTCTCCCACCCAGAACAGCAAGTTACATGGCCTAGAAGAACATCTTCTTTGCATTAAGGCATAGATTGGAAGATATGCACTCTGCAGAGTTGGGTGACTGAATTGGGAGTTTTGTTTTGGGGTGTGTGTGTGTGTGTGTCTTTGTGTGTTCTTTTGAGTCAGGTCTTTCTTCTAATTCTACAGAATCCACTTAGCATTTTTTTTTCACTCCTAAAATAGCCAGTTGTCTCTTTTTTTTTTCCCCCTTAGAATCTCCTTTGTTTACTGAGACTGTCTTTCCATTCATTTCAGGAAAGTTTGCCCTTACTGCTGAGAACCTTTTCCTAATCAACTCTAAAATCTTTGTCAGATGGTTCCAACTCTGTGACATGCCTGCTTTAGCATTTCTTGCAGGTTCCCCCACCCCCCAGGGAAGCTGTGCATTAACAAATGTTAGATGGTCACTATTTTGGATACTCTGCCACGGGACTCCAGATACTATTTAAACCCTTTGGACCATACTGATTCTTTCACTTAGGCAGGTGTCTTAGTTAGGGTTTCTACTGCTGTGAAGAGACGCCATGACCACAGCAACTCTTTCATTGTATTTCATTGGGGTGGCTCGCTTACAGTTTCAGAGGTTCAGTCCATTATCATCACGGTGGCACAGGCAGACATGGTGCTGGAGAAGCAACTGAGAGTCTCACATCTTGCTGGCAGCAGGAAGTGGTGTGAAACACTGAGTGTGGCTTGAGCATAATAAGACCTCAAGGCCCACCTCCACAGTGACACACTTCCTTCAACAAGGCCACACCTACCAACTGTGCCATTCCCTTTGGGAGCCATTTTCTTTCACACCCCCACAGCAGGCCAACGGTTCTGTTCAGCTGACCATGTTGGATCTAGGCAGCAAGTTCTGGCCAGCCTTCCACAGACGTGATCTCAGTGTCAATACCATTTACAAGCGATTTCAATGGTCAAGGTGTTTGCACATATCCCAGGCACCCAGCATTGAGTGTGTGCTCTGGGTGGAACAATGGTCATTTATCCTGTCACTTGTACTATTTTTAATAAAATGTTGATTGGCCAGTAGCCAGGCAGGAAGTAGAGGCAGGGCAATGAAAACAAGAGAATTCTGGGAAGAGGGAAGCTCATTCTCCAGTTGTGACCCAGCTGCAAAGGAAGCAAGATGTGACTGCTTCACCAAAAAAGGTACCAAGCCACATGGCCAACACAGACAAGAATTATGGGATAATATAAGTTATAAGAATTAGTGAATAAGAAGAGCCTGAGACACTGGGCCAATCAGTTTATAACTGAGGTAGACCTCTGTGTGATTCTTTGGGACTGGGCAGGACAGAAATCTCGGTCAACAAGTGTGGGTCTCAGACTATGGTCTACACCACAGTTTGCTTCTCAGAGTCTACAGTAGGCTGAGAGAATCAACTCCATGCATGAGGAAATGAAGAGTTGATATCCAGCCTTATGAGTCTGCTTCCCAGAACCACCCCCCTTTCCCAGCCACAGTGGGTGTCCCCTGGGGTTTCCAGTCTCCAGATGGAAATGTGGGACCATGATTACCTCAATTTCAGCACAAGTTTGCTGCCTGCAAGCCCATACCTAAGGCCAAATAATATCAGAATTTTTTAAAGCAATGAGGGTTCCTCCCCTGCGCTGGGGACCACAGCTCCTCCTCCCCCGGCACATGTTTTTCAGGGCTTTGGGCTTCTCTAAGCCAGAGTTGTCAATGCTGTTCCTACTGCCCCCTCAGCCCTCTTCAGACGAGGCTGCAACCCTTTTTTTAATATCAGAAATACCTTTCCCACTCATCACACTGTTGGATAGGTCTCTGCCCAGATGCTCCTCTTGGGTTGAGGCTCTAATTAAACCCAGAAGTCGTCCTCGAGGAGAAAGAAATGGAGACACGCTGGTGGCTCCCCAATATTTCACATCATCTCTTTCCAGTTCATCTGCTGCTCTTCACTTTCCAGGGTCCCCACGTGGCTGAATGACATCAGTTCTGCCCAGATTTTCTAACCGTTTCAGGAGCAGACGCAGGACTGAGCTCAACCAGAACATGACAATCACACCAGAGAGGTCTTTCTGAACCATAAACGTGGCCATGTCACACCCCTGGCCCCCTCGCTCGTGGCTCTAAACCACCATGTTTGACATATCTCCTTTCCTTTACACCTTACGGCCACTACTCTTGTCCCCGGCAGTATCGCGGAGCCGCGAGCCCCTCCCAGAACACTACACTTTCGGAACGCCAGCGCCAGTGGCTTCCTTGCCAAGGATGTGCTTTTCCCTTCTGCTCCTGGCTACTGTCCCAGAAGTCTCAGGAGAGACAGCCCTTCTCTAGGAAACTGCTCTTCACCCCCATCAGTGGATTTCTTTTCCCTGCCCAGGGCTCCTGCCACATACTATTCTAGCCTGTGGTCACTGTGTGCAACTAATTATTTAGTCCCCTGCCTTTGGCACTAGCCAGTGAGCCCCGTGAAAGCAGACACTATGTTTTCTCCAGCATCTAATAGCACATGCTAGGTTGGCAATTGATACCTACAGAATTGAGTCTGAGTACCAGCAGGGCCTGGGGGAAGCAAATGCCCTATCCCTGAACATGGACCTCCTCAGATTACAGTCCACCATGGCTCTTGGTTAACGATATGCCCACTACAATAAGACAATAACAAGAAGACCCCCACCTTGGATCCTGTACCTCTGTCTGAACCATCAACTCTTCAGTCTGTCTTCAAACTCCTGGGATTAAGCCACACTCCCTAAAGTGGACACACTGTGACCTCAGGCAATACCTATGGGGTTGCATTCTCTTCGTGCCTATGACACCCTTTCCGGAAGCAGCCGCTGCCTCCTTTGTCTGATTCCAGGATAACCATGAGATACTGGGAAAGAGGACTGTGTTGTCCTGGCTCACCTAATTCCTCTTCCCATGCTTCCCCTTACCTCTAACCCATCAACCTGGGCCAGTGCTTTCCCAGCAACAATTCGGTAACACAAGGCACGGAAGCCGTAATTTTCTGGTAGCTACTTTTACAAGTAAAAGTGGGCAGAATCAATGTTACTAATAAATATTAGGAGTAGCATAGTAGGTTAAATATGGATGAGAAGACAATGAATATTCCAAAGGATGTAGTCGGGAGGGTTTGGAATATTCTCATCATTCTCCATCCAAAGAAATAGTATCTATCTGAGGCGGTGGATGGGGCATCACACTCTGAGCACATGTATTGACATGCTCCATGAACATGAACCATCAGTATGTCAATCAAAAATGTCAAATACATGCCAAATGTCAAGTACATTTTGTTTAACCCAGCTACTCAACACACAGTCATTTCAGGATGCAATCAATACTTTTGCAAAGCACTGGCAAGCTATTTCACATTTTTCTTTTTGTGCTAAGATATCAAACTACAGTCTGAGATGTCTCGGCACTTTAAGAGCACTGGCTGCTCACAGAGGACCCAGATTCAGTTCACAGTACCCACATGGCAACCTAAAGCTGCTTGTGATTTCACTTCTAGGGAATTTGATGGTCTCTTCTGGCCTCTACTGGCAACACACACACACACACACACAGAGAGAGAGAGAGAGAGAGAGAGAGAGAGAGAGAGAGAGAGAGAGCACATGTATACAATCAGGCAAACAATCATGCACACAAAACATAAATAAACAAATATTTTTATAAAAGTTTAAAAACAGATTCCCAGGTCTCTCTGGGTAACTCTGGCAGACCTGGAACTTGCTCTGTAGAGCAAACTGGCCTCCAACACAGAACTTTTGACTCACAAGTGCTGGGATTAAAGACTCGCATCTTCATGGCCAGCTTATACTTTAGATTTTTTTTCTCACACTTTTGCTGTGTTTTGTGGAAGAATCTCATGTAGTTCAGGCTGACCTCCAACTCAGTTTGTAGGCAAAGATGGCTTTGAACTCCTGACCCTCCCGGACCCACTTCCCAAAGGCCGAGAACTTAGGTGTGGACCACCTATTCAGTGTTTTAGATTTATAGCACGTGTCACTTGGGTCTAACCTCATTTCAACCTCAGTAGCTACAGGAAGCTAATAGTTGACACCACTTTGGATAGCCCATGGCTAGAGGTTGAGCATTCCTATAAATACCACCAGTCACAGCTAATGATTACTACGTACTTACAGTGTTGCTACATACTTAGAGCCTGCCTCCTACTCTACTGACCACTCAAGGCTTTGAGTGCTCCTCAGACTTAATCTTCATAGTAATCGCCCAACCTGGGGACTATTCTAAAATCCATATTCTAGATGAGGAAACAATCTCACAGAACTAAGAACTCATCTAAGGTGACACCAAAAAGGAAGAAAGGAAGAAAGAAAGAAAGAAAGAAAGAAAGAAAGAAAGAAAGAAAGAAAGAAAGGAAGGAAGGAAGGAAGGAAGGAAGGAAGGAAGGAAGAAAAGAAGCAACAGAGACAAGACTAGATCCACACCACTGGCTCACGCTGTTTCTCACTTCTCAGTGCAGTTAACCAATCAGCGGACTTCAAGAGCTTGACACCTGCAGGGAGACACACTGAACACACATACATTGGCTGAACGTTTCACGAACAACATAACCAAATGGGGCTTCATCTTGATTTCATTTTGCTTTTCTGGGGCTTTGGTGTATTCTAGGCAAGCACTGTGCCCCTGACTTGTGCCCCCAGCTCAAGCCAAATGCTTTGATGGGTAAACTCATGTTTTGAAAGTCATCACACAGGATAAGCGTATCCTTTCAGAAAATCCTCCGCCCTGGACCACAGGCCAAGAAAATGGCACCAACCTGGGTTACTGACAAGCTGCACCAAGGGCTGTGTTTATTGTGTTTCCAAGCTCTGAGAACTTCATGAAGGATTAGTTTAGAGAAAGTTGGTTTTCTCCAGTTTTGAGGGACAGCTTACATCAAGCTTCTTTGCTTCTCCTCTTTATCCCTCTCTCTCAAACCTTCAGGGCCAATGTTCTCAGTGTGATGGGGGGTGCTGTTTCCTCCGAGGCCTCCTCTGAAGTCTGGCTAGGAGGGGTCCTGTCAGCAAGAGGAGGGCATTGACTCACACCTTCCGAGTAGCACAGGCATAGCAAACACTGTCTCCCAGTGGCTGTTCTGGGCACTTGAGCTCTCCCTTTTCTTTCACATGTTTTTCTTATCTCTTTCAGTGCTAGGCCAGGCTAAGCAAGCTGCTCCACCAGTAAAGCCCCATCACTGGCCCTCAGCTTCTCATCTGATGTGACTTACCCTCAGTCTCTCCAAATGAAACCTTGATTTTTTTTCCCCCCCAATTTGGGAGAGGCTGCTATTGCAATAAAAACGTTAACTCTAGCTTAGGCAGCCAGTCCATAGCGGGCCTGTGAGGGGAACTTGAGGTTTGTTGGGGGTGAGAAAGTGGCGGAGCAAGGAGCTGTGTCCATATCCCTAACACGGTTCAGAAAGTTGTCCCTGCACTACAACACTTCCATCATTAAATAGAAAGCACAATTTTTCCCCAAAATGGGACCTAAATACCTGGAAAGGCTGCTTCCTGTCTACCAGAGGATGTGCATGAGATGTCTGCTGTACTAAACCTTTACCTAACAGAATTTACCTTCCTGGAGGGTATGGCCAAGTGTATAAAACTAATATCAAATGATAAAGAGAGCAGGTCCTGATGAACCAGCCTGCCTCTGCCTTGAGCTTGAAAGTCATTCCTGCTTATGCTTAAATCTATTTCTCAAAGACTGGACTGTTGCCCCATTTGTAATCTTAGCTACAAATAGTTCAGTACTGCCTATCCCATGAAATGGCAACCACGCCTGTTTCAAAAGGTTGTTATGACCACCTTGTTATGACGTTGTTATGACCATCTTGTTATGACCACCTTGTTAAGACAATGTTGCTATGACTACCATGTTATGACAATGTTGTCCAGTGCTGATCATTTGAATCCCACCTTTTGGGGGAGACAGTCCGTGTACACAAATAAAACTTGTTTTATTTCATTAATTTTTCCATGATTTGGGTCAGTGGTCTTCCTCCTCACATCTGCAGCATTAACGATCCCAAATCTTACATTATTTCTATTGCTTGATTTAGGTATGCCTAAAAAGATGCACCATTTTATATTTTAGCCTTTATTCAATTCCTTACTTTTGCAATAATTTTTCCAACATGACTTCTAAATTTCCCTACACTTTTTTAAAGCATCAGGCTGTCCCATCACTGACCTTGAATATAGGAGAGTAGCAGGTGTGGTGGCCACTCTTCCTGGATTTGAAAGCATATAGAACTGCAAAAGTATGGTGGAGGTTTCCAGAGAGGTTTCACCGAAGAGGGAAGAACTTCCCTTAATGTGTGAAGCACCAATTCTTGAGCAGGAATAAAAAGGAAAAAGGGCTGGGCATGGTGGTGCATGCCTTTAATTCCAGCAGAGGCAGGCCGATCTCTATGCGTTCAGTCCAGCCTGGTCTACAAGGTGAGTTCAAGCACAGCCAGGACTGTTAAAGCCTGTCTAGAAAAACAAACAAAATTGAGTTGGGAGGAGCCAGCTGAGCATTTCTCTGTCTGCCTCCTGACTGCAGACAGGAGGCCACCAATCGCCTCCAGCTCCTGTTGCCTCCAGCTGAAGCTGATCTCATCACCAAGCCTTTCCTACATTGTAGTACTATTCCCTCAAGATGAATGAAAATGAAGCCCTCTTCAGTAACTTGGTTTCTGTCAGTATTTTGTCATGAAAGCAACTAAGGCAGAGGTAGAATAAACCGCCCTGCTGAGCTTTTATTCTTCGGTACTTCAGGCTAGTTTCAGTAGTTTCAGTCTTCATTCCTATGTTTATTACTCAAGGATAAGTGAAAGATGCCGATAAATACTCTATCTGAAAAGTATTTCTCACCATTTACTTTCGGGCCCTTAAGAACTTGTGGAAAGCTGGGAGAGAGAGGCAAACTTTCTTGGTTTTACCCGCAATACCCTGTAGTTCTCAAACTCTGCCAGGAGATGGCGGTAGTAACCAACGACAAAATCCGGTTGCTCGGCCGCGTCAGCTTCTCATTGTCCTGTGGACATTTCCTGCATCTAATCTGATGCTTATGAAAACTATTTCCTCCTTTCAAAAGCACAAGCCCAAACAGAAACTAACCTCACCCTGCGGATCAAGGATGTTTGTGCCTTTTCAGTTGTCGAACCCTCCCAGCTATGGCTTGATTGTAAAGTATTTTCCCAGCAGCTACTTGTCCGTTCCAGGAAGCAAAGTGAGAAAAGACTCTGGGCTTCCTCTGGGCTGGTGGGAAGGTGTGTCTAGGGGCAGCACCCCTCCAGCCACTACACAGATCTCAGCTCCGGGAAGCAGAGCAGGTGGGAAGGATGCTGCGGTGAATAACCGATTCTGTGAGAGCGACTTTCCCAAGACCTGTTCAACCCAGATACTTGGCCAGAAGCAGTACTCCGCTGTCCTGCGCTCGCAAACACAAGTCTGATAGCGTCACATCCTTGATGAGAGATGGAGTTTAAATGACTCTCACAAACTGAAGAACGGCTTCGGGGCAAGTCAGACAGGAAAGGTTTCAAGAAACCACAGTGAAGTGTCCAGACCTTATTAAAGGTTAAGCATTTGCTGGGGGAGGGGGGAGGTGTCACATGATCAAATTAACTTAAGAAATGACCATGAAAAGTCAAGTACGTTTTATCCTTGAGTCTCAGCATTTGGGTGTTCCTATGGAGCCTTTGATAGTGTATCATGAAGATCGCTGAGGAAAGTCTGGACTACACTCAGTCTCCTCTCTCTACTGCAGGAAGGACCAGTGGGAGTCCAGAGGACCTCGGCTTGGGGATTTGGAAAGTCGGTGAAAGCTCTGGAATGTTCATTTCCTCATTTCCTTTTGCATATTAATTAGAGATGGCAGTCCTGACTGGCAAACTGCCAGAGCAAACTGGCCACCAAATGATGTTCGAGCCAGACTGTTAGAAGATAGATCCTTGTACTTGTAATTTTTAAAATCAGACTTTGAAAAAAAATTGTCAGTAATGATACAAAGACCCTCTATATACCTTTTACAGGTTCTCTAAACATGAGTTACAACAAAAGCGTGATGCAATGAGCAAAATTAGAAAATAGCATCAATTTGGGATTGTTACCTAACCTTCAGACCTCATTCACAGTTTACAAAGTGTCCTTTTCTAGCTCAGGGTGAAACAATGACTATTGTCTGATCTCTCAAATCCTCTTGAACTGAACGATGCTGGCCCTTTTTGCTCATGGTCCTGACACTTCTTAAGACTGCTACCAGTCTTTTTGTAAGCTCTGTCTTAGTTCGGGTATATCTGAGGTTTCCTCTTGATCAAATTTAAGTCAGGTGACTTTGCCCAGAGTCCGACAGGGATGAGGTTTCAGCATATCACATCCTAAGGCTTTTGTTGTTGGCTTATTCTTGACTAGTGATCATTGTGGTCGCTTGGTTAGGGTGATACCCAGCAAGGTCCTCAACCAGTATGTTATACACTGTGTAAGTGTCTCGATCCTCACCATACCTGTGCCCTCTGATTTATGCCCACATTCATAATCTCCACCTAAGTTACTGCCAGGGTAGCTACCAAATGGCTTTTTCAAAAGAAAAAATGCCATAGAGATTTTTACTTGAAAAATACATTCTTTTGATTCTGTGAGGCAGTTTTCAGAAAATTTGTGTGTGTGTGTGTGTGTGTGTGTGTGAGAGAGAGAGAGAGAGAGAGAGAGAGAGAGAGAGAGAGAGAGAAAGTAGGAATTGGGCCCAGGCTTTGCACAGGCTGGGCAAGCGGACTATCAGCAAGCTACATCCCCCAACTTTAGGATTTCTTTATTAAAAAAGGTGGAGAATACTGGGCCTCCCAGAGTTTCTAACTCTCACTTCCATTTGGTGCTTTTATTATTTTACAAAATGTTTTATTTCATGTCTTAATAGGTCTTGAAAGAAACTGAGAGATTATCCAAATTATAGTGGTGGTTTGAAAACTCACTGGGCACTCATTTAAGCCCAAAGTCTATTCCATCGCCACTAATACTAGCACACACACACACACACACACACACACACACACACACGTGCACACGTGCACACATACACACACTCACACACAGGCACACATCCACATACTCACACAAAGAGGCACACATACACACACTCACATACATGCCCAGGCACACCACACACACACACACACACACACACACACACACACACACACATGTGCACACACAAGCACACAGGCACACACTCACATGCCCAGGCACGCCCACACATGCATACACTGCACATGACACGTACAAAGATGCAACCTCTCTCTTCTAGTCATGAATCAGCTGCCCTCCCATACCGGAATCGGTCCCCCCATCCCACACACCTTTGCTAACTAAGACTTGCCAAGTCTTGCTAACACTTCTTTGCTTCAGCCAAGAATTTCTGAGACCCCCTTTCTCTCTGCATGAAAATGTGTTAGAGCACCCCTGGAGTGCAGCTTCTCAAATTCAGCTCCTGGGGGTGGCCAATTCCAGGCTCCCCCTGAGCAAGCCTCTTCTTTTGTTGTGATCCATGAAAGGTCACCTGCTGACACGGATAAGCATCACTAAGGAGTGTTGACTTCCACGGCGCCAGGAGCCTCAGATTTAAGGGAAGGATGAAACGGTATTTCAACTGGCAGGCAGGAAGGGGGTCCTGCCCAGTCAGGAGGAAGGTGAGAACTCACGGAAGCCCACCAAATGAAAAGCCACTGGGGCTAGACTCCAATTTCACACCTGTTACCTGGGGGGAATGACCTTGAACCAGTCCTGGGTGGCATTTGCAAGTGAACTAGGTAAATTTAGCAAGCCTTGCCGTGGGGTGGCCTAACTCTTACCCTGAAGTCTCATGGGAGCTTGTACTGCTTTTGAAAGCCAAGACAGAGTGTGTCTGCCTCCACCCAGGCCTGTTCCCAGCGCCTTTACAGGCTCGGTGAAGCAGGAACGGACCAGCTGTGCCATCTGGGCAGAACCTCCAAAACTTTCCAAGTTCTAAAAGGCCCAGTTGTGCAGGTGCAAACCCGATTCCTTTCATGTCACACATGCAGGTCTGGCCCTAACACTGCTTGCACTTGGAAGTAGGTGTGGAATGTGTGCCCTTTGGAGAACGAGGCTGGGGGGGGTTCCCAGGAACCCCTCAAAAGCCAGGGGAAAGAGTCCCTGTGGTAGCCGGAAAGCCCTGTGCATTTGGGGAAACCGAGCCACCTGCAGAGTGCCTAGACAACCGGTGGGGAAGAGATGGAAGGCGCAAAGAAGTCCAATCTAACGCTGAGGATAATGGCACTGTGTAAGAGTTCTAGTGTGTGCTCGTGGTACACAGTGCTGGCTTCCACGGGGACATCGCCATAACAGGATGCACTGTGCTTTGACCCGTGCTCCCTATGGACCACTTCATCTTCCTCAGCCTCTCCTCCCTCCCATTGGTCCCCTTCTGACCCTAGGCAGTTTTGCGTCTACTTCCGGTAATCTGTGCACTCGCGACGGTGTTTATTGGTGTAAAAATCTGGGCTCCACAAATGAGAAAACCTGTATATTTGTCTTTCTGAGCATAATTCAGTTTGTACCACTTTTTGATCTCCACTTAACATCCATTTTCTTGAAAATGATGTGTTTTTATTCTTCCTTGTGACTGAATAATACTCCATAGTGTGGTAGACCTTGAAATTCACGAGGTTTCAGGAAAACATAAAGAATTCCAGCTTCCAGGGGTGTGGAGGGTGAGCCTGAAGATCCTGACTTCAGTAGTGAGAACCAGAACGTCACAGGGAACAGGAGAGAGGTTGCTTGAATAACCCAGATCTGAAAGCCCATTGTAGGTAGGTGCTTTAGGCGCTACTTTGACGCCATTTCCCAGAAACTAGATGTTAGGAATATTTCCTAAGGCGAGCTCCCTGATGACGCAAAAATTCCCAATCAAGCCAAACCAAAACAAGCTAAATTAAGAAATAACCAGGTTTAATGAGAGATCTGCACTCTCGGGTGGCCCCGAGGGGGAACCGAGAAGCCAGAAATGCACCCCCAGGAGGAAGAAAGGGAGACCACGTGTTTCTCTTTGGGGGGGGATCACTTAAATACCCTGGGGAGGGGTCAGGACCTGGCCTGCTGGGATTTGAAGTCCAGACCAGGCCTGGGGGCTGGGATAGATGTGAGGGGCAGGGGCCTATGCTCCCAACTTAACACTAGAGGGTCTCTGCATCCTTCTTTCTTTAATGTGGGTTTCCTCAAAGCCACCAGCCAGAGACAATAGAGACAAAGCAGTGGCCATATTCAAAATAAAGGTGCAAATCAAATGATTGGGTCCTTTTGTGGAGAATAGCTGTTACTTTCAGGAATGTGGCAATAACCAAAGCTCATTATAAGGCCAGCAGGTCCTGACGCTTCTTTAGGCTCAGACTTAAGCTGCATGGGAACTGAGGCTTGTGGGAAGAATGTCCAGATGGAAATGCTGTTACGCACTACTTTGTTTTCCTAAAGGCAAATGTAGTGCACATACGTACACCTGATACCAATGCTAAAGTGGACACCTTGTATAAAGACACTCACGGGACAAATCGAGAGCCAAAGGAATGTGGATTCCCGATCACAGGTCACTCAACATGCAAGTGAACGGGCCAGGCTCAGGGACAAGCTGTGCAGGGTGGTGTAAGCCCCTCATCCCAGCACTCAGGAGGCTGATGCAGGAGGATCATGTACCGAGTTCTAGGCCCAGTCTGGCTTGCAGAGGAAGGAAACGCTACTTCAATGACATAGCTTACATTGCACATTTTGCAATAGGGACGTTTTAGTTTTTCTTTATTTTCTCCCTATTTATTGACTTGTTTGTGCACTTATTTTGACTCTAGAATGCTGCAGGAGCACCTTCCCCTCCTTCAGCCAATAGCCGCTGAAATACCGGCCCACTGGGGCGTGGTCTATTTCTCTTTAA